CGGAGCCAAAGTAGTTACCAAAAATTTAAGAGCCTCCGGCTCAAGCCGCCGACCCCGCTGGAGCATAGTTGAGACCCGCTCGCATGGAAGATCATCCCCGGCAGAGTTCTGTGAATCGTTTGGGGGGGGGTAGGGGGTAGCACCAGGACAAGCTCAAGCCAAAAAGACAGGTGGGTGGGGGTGGGGGGGGGAGGGGGGGGGGGGGGGGGGGGGGGGGGGGGGGGGGGGGGGGGGGGGGGGGGGGGGGTGGGGGGTGGTTGGGGGGGGGGGGGGGGGGGGGGGGGGGGGGGGGGGGGGGGGGGGGGGGGGGGGGTGGGGGGGGGGGGGGGGGGGGGGTGGGGGGGGGGGGGGGGGGGGGGGGGGGGGGGGGGGGGGGGGGGGGGGGGGGGGGGGGGGAGGGGGGTGGAGGCGGGGAAACGCTGTTTTTGCTGAGGGCGCCCCTACCCCCCCGTGCTGAACCCCCTGTTTACGCTGTGCGGGTGGCGCGGTCCTCCACGAAAAAATTGTGCAACCGACCACACCCCCCCCCCCCCCCCCCTCCCCCCGCGTTTTGGGGGGGTAAGGAGGGAAAGAGGGAGGTTTCACCTCCTTTTCCCATCCAACATGCCGCCAGGGTCGGCGGACTCTCTCCCCACAGTCCCGTTTTAGGGTTTCAGAAAAACCCGGAACAATGGAAAGGTCGGAATGATCACCAGTAGTATTCCCTTATGGTCCCTATAGAACTATACTACAATAACCGCCAAAACCCTATTCTATTTATTAAGGCCCTGATATTACCTATTCGCCTTGAAGCCCTAAACCCTAGATTCCCGAAAGCCTAAACCCTCCAAAGCCCTGAAGCCCTAAAGCCCGAAAACCCTAAACCCCAAAATCAGGTAACTAGGCGAAGGTAACCCCTGAACCAAAAACCCCAAACCCTAATCTCTAAAACCCTAAAGCCCTAGAGCCCTAAAGCCTGAAACTCTCATAATGATCCCTAAATCCCTATAGCCCTAAACCCCTAAACCCTAAACCCGAAACCCTAACCCTTAACCCTTAAACCCTAAACCCTAAGTCAGGTAACTGGTTTGAGGCGAAGGTCCAGCTCGGCGGCCTGCGCATCTGCGTTCTTCAGGCGCGGGGGCGGCCTCCGGATGCTTGGAGGCGGTGCGGTTTAGGGTTTAGGGTTTAGGGTTTGGGGTTTGGGGTTTAGGGTTTAGGGTTTAGGGTTTAGGGTTTAGGGGTTTAGGGGTTTAGGGGTTTAGGGGTTTAGGGGTTTAGGGGTTTAGGGGTTTAGGGGTTTAGGGGTTTAGGGGTTTAGGGGTTTAGGGGTTTAGGGGTTTAGGGGTTTAGGGGTTTAGGGGTTTAGGGGTTTAGGGGTTTAGGGGTTTAGGGGTGTAATTAGGGGTTTAGGGGTTTAGGGGTTTAGGGGTTTCAGGGTTTATAGACACCTATGCACACATGCATTTTGGAAATGTTGTGTTCTGGGGAGGTGGAGGGGAGGGCAGCTGCGATGGATGGCAGGTTCTTTTGTGGGATTTCGTTTGGGTTGTTTGGGGTTGAGGGTTTAGGGTTTAGGGTTTAGTGTTTGGGGTTTAGGATTTGGGGGGTTTAGGGTTTAGGGTTGAGTTTCAGGGGTTGGGGTTGCCGGGAGATTAGGGTTTTGCCTTTGGGGCTTTCGCTGCCCTCAGATATCGCTGGCCGCGTGCCCGCGCGGAGAAGGTGGTGAGGTCCGGCGCGTGTGCGCCCCCGCTGTGGCGCTGCGCGCCAGAGTATGAGGACATGGGTTCCCAGGCCTGGAGGATGTTGGCTGAGGATCCGCCTTAAGCCCCGAAGCCCTCAATCCCCTAAGCTCTCAAACTCCTCAGCCTTAAATGCCGAAAGTGTAAACCCCGTATTTCTCAAACTCCTGAACCTTGAGTACCTAAACCCTTAACCCTAAACCCTAAACCCAAAACCCTAAACCCTAAGCCCTAAACCCTAAACCCTAAATCCCAAACCCTATACCCTATACCCTATACCCTATACCCTAAACCCTACACCCTAAACCCTAAACCCTAAATCCCAAACATACCTTATACCCTAAACCCTAAACCCTAAACCCTGAACCCTGAACCCTGAACCCTAAACCCTAAACCCTAAACCCTAAATCCCAAACCCCAAGCTTCGGAGTCCTCGAGTACTTGAGATCCTGAGGCAGGCTGCGGAGGAAAAAAGATGCAGAGGCTGCAGGGTTTAGGGTTTAGGGTTGAGGGTTGAGGGTTTCGGTTTAGGATTCAGGGTTTTTGCGTTTCGTGGGTTTACGGGGTTTAGGGGCTTCAGGGTTTAGGGTTTTCCCTAGACCCTAAACCCTAAACTCTATACCCTAAACCCTAAACCTTAAACCCTAAACCCTAAACGGGTTTGGGGGCTTTGGGGGTTTTGAGGGCTCAGGTTCTTTTTTCTTTGGGAGCGGCCGTGTTGCCGCCCCCTCACTCCGGTAGCCCAGACCGAGACTCTAAACCCTCTCATGAAGCCCTAGAACCTAAACCCAAAGCCCTAAGCCCTAAACCCTAAACCCTAAACTCTAAACCCGAAACCCTAAACCCTGAATCCTCAATCTTTGTTAACCCCCCGCCCCCGGCCTAGGTAGAGAACTACGACGCGGCCGCACTTCGCGCTCTTAACCATCGGGGTTGCTGACTCTGTGGGGCTCTTTAGGAGTTTGGAGTCTTGTTAAAGTTGTCTTGGTTTGAACTTTTTGCAGGTTGTTTTGTTTGAGGTTTCTTTGAGGGTTCTTTAGGTTTTTCAGGTTCTTATTTGATGTCTTGCAGGGTCTTTAGTGCTTTAGGAGTTTAGGGGTGCGCTCTTGCTAAGCGCCGTTGAGTTTACAAGGACCCAGCAGGGGCCTTTTGTGGGCTTGTGAGGAGCTTTGCTCGAAGAGCCCCCAAAGCCTCGAGGCCCCCAAATCCTCAACTTACAGGGTCCCAAAGGGAGGGGGGTTAGTTGGGAGTCTTAAGAAACCTTGGGTTACACTACATACCCCCTTGAACACCCCTCAACCCTAAACCCTAAACCCTAAACCCTAAACCCTAAACCCTAAACCCTAAACCCTAAACCCTAAACCCTTTAAGCAGAAAAAAGCGCAAATCAACAGCCCGGAAGCCTACGCTCCTCTGCCTGCATTGTTTTCCTGGAGAAACTCACAAGGAACTAGAGGATGCCAGGGTTTAGGGTTTAGGGTTTAGGGTTTAGGGTTTAGGGTTTTAGGGTTTAGAGTTTTAGGGTTTAGGGTTTAGGGTTTTAGGGTTTTAGGGTTTAGGGTTTAGAGTTTTAGGGTTTAGGGTTTAGGGTTTAGGGTTTAGGGTTTAGGGTTTAGAGTTTTAGGGTTTTAGGGTTTAGGGTTTAGGGTTTTCGGGTTTTAGGGTTTAGGGTTTAGGGTTTACACCCCGGACAGTAAATCCTTCACCCCCAAACCCTAAGCCCTAAGCAACGGACCCACCTCGATGTACAACTGGCCCGAAACCCTCAGCCCTTCAAGCCCCAAACACAATACCCCAAACCCTAAACGCTAGACCCGAAACCCTAAACCCTAAACCCCAAACCCCAAACCCTAAACCCCAAACCCCAAACCCCAAACCCCAAACCCCAAACCCTAAATCCTAAACCCTAAACGCTATATGCCCTGATGACCTTGCCAGGTGTGTAGCATGGCGGAGAGCAACTGCAAGAGGCTGGACTTAGAGTCTGCGGCTCAGGCCTCTCAGGGTTCAGGGTTTAGGGGTTTGGGTCCAGGGTCTAGGGGTTTAGGGCCCTAAGCCCCAAACTCTAGACCCTACTAAGGCTTGCGCCAGCGTGGGCGGGTGTGAGTTTAGGGCTTAGGGCTTTAGGGCCAGGGATTTAGGAGGTTTAGGGTTTAGGGGTTTAGGTTCAGGCTTCAGTGTTAGCTGAGTGCGGACCCTTTCCAGGTTAGACTTGGACAATGACATTGACCTCGTGGCCCGCAGCCGTCCCAGATTGCGGGTACTGCGGGGTAAGAAGCGCCGGGTCAAGCACTCGGGGAGCAACGTGGTGCAACAACCCTAACCCTAAACCCTACACCTTCAAGCCTAAAGCTAAAGCCTAAAGCCTATACCCTAAACCCTGTAGTGAACCCTAAACCCTAAACCCTAAATCCTAAACCCTAAAACCTAAACCCTAAACCTAAACCCCTACACCTTAAAGCCTAAAGCCTAAAGCCTATACCCTAAACCCTAAACCCTAAACCCTAAACCCTAAACCCTAAACCCTAAACCCTAAACCCTAAACCCTGCAGTGAACCCTAAACCCTATTCCCTAAACCCTAAATCCTAAACCCTAAACCGCAGCTGTCATAGCGGTCCCCAAACCTCCCAAAGGAGCAAACCCGGCCTTAGATGCCCGAACAAGAGCCTAGTTAAGGTTTAGGGTTTAGGGTTTAGGGTTTAGGGTTTAGGGTTTAGGGTTTAGGGGGACAACCTTGCACCCTGTTCGAGGCTTGACCTGCATCGGATTGACCTCTGCGCCTCCCGGCAAGGAGGACGCAACTGGCCCACTCAAGGTGCTTGTAGTTGAGGGTTTTGGGTTTAGGGTTGGGTTTAGGGTTTAGGGTTTCGGGTTTAGGGATTGGGGTTTAGGGTTTAGGGTTTGGCTCGCTATACAGTATTTGTAGGGTCCAGAGTTTAGCGTTGAGGAGTGTTGCGGTTGGGGGCGTTTAGGCGTCCAGGGGTTAAGGGGTGTAAGGGGTTAAGGGGTTTAGGGTGAGGGGTGTAAGGGGTGTAAGGGGTGTAAGGGGTGAAAGGGGTGAAAGGGGTGTAAGGGGTGTAAGGGGTGTAAGGGGTGTAAGGGGTGTAAGGGGTGTAAGGGGTGTAAGGGGTGTAAGGGGTGTAAGGGGTGTAAGGGGTGTAAGGGGTGAAAGGGGTGAAAGGGGTGAAAGGGGTGATAGGGGTTTAGGGGTTTAGGGTTTTAAGGGTTTAGGGTTTAGGGTTTAGGGGGGTTAGAGTGCAGCGAATTTATAGCAATTT